TTTTCACAGGTAAATTTACAATTACATTCGGGGTTCTCTATGAGACCGATCCTATATAGATCACCATTTAATCTACTATTTGAATATCTTAGCTGGGTATGAATTACATTGAGTTTTCTATTACCAAATGAGAAATATCCTGGTGCTTTTGACTTACGCGAGCTTATATGCGATTTAAAACTTTTAAGGAAACTGATTCTCCAACATATAAAGGAGATTATTCCAAAGTTGTGCAGATGATGGGAAAAATGATTGACTGTAGAGATTTGTGCGGGAATAGTACAGGGAAAGATCACGAATGATTCTAAGATTATAATTTGTCCTAGATTCAACAGTTTGCGGCATAAGATCACAAAGGTAGGATGGAGCATTTTTGTTGTATATATTATAGAATAAAGACAATTTACGACATCTTCTTCTTTCTTTTAACATTTGCCAACCTGTTTCATAGTATCAGAGTATCTCTAGTGGCATATTTTGGTAAACCAGTAACTATCCTGGCGGCCTCAAACTGAACTTTTTCAATTTTATCGGTTAAATCTACCGAACAACCATCCCATAATTCACAAGCATATTCAAGATGTGGTCTTATGAATACAATTTAAATCTTATTAAGAGTGTCTCTGTTTAACATAAACTTTAATTTTCTCATTGATGAAACCATCAAGGACGTTGTTTTTACAATGTTATCAATATGTGTGTTCAATTTACAATCAGAAGAAAATGTTACTCCAAGATGTTTATGAGATTTTTCCAAACGTACACACTGAGTTTCAAATTCTAAATTTAGAATTGTATTATTATTCTTAAGACTGAAAAGTATAGCTTCTGTTTTGTTGTAAATCATATATATTGTTCCTTTATGTGGAGGTAGTGTCCCATTTTTGACAGCGTCTTGGTCACTGATTCGCAAAGTTTCGCTCTCAAACCTGGGATAACTAGCTGCACCAATTAAGGGTAGTTATGTAAATGCAATCACCTGAGAGAAGTACAGAACAAGTAACATTCTTGAACACTAATACCACAATCAACTGAGAGAAAAGGATGCGAGAAGCAGCATTATCCGTTGAGATGTATGAATGCAATATTTAAAAAAAGGTTACGTCATGAGCAGGATGGGAGAAGTAGCTTTAACAATTACTTGCAAAGTATATATGCCTACATATACATCACATTTTCTTATCATATTTCATCATGGCTGAGAAAGGTACAAAGTTAGATGGTAGGAGACCAGGTGGAGAATTGTTGCTGGATGGATATAGGTATCTGAGACGAACTGCCAACAGGAATGGTACCATTATATGGAGATGTCAGTGCCTGAAAACAGCCTCAGTCACTACAACAGCAGATGGGACTGTTGTCAGAAGAGGGGACAAACAGCATACACATCCAGACCAAAGCTCTATTGGTTCCTATATCCTTACCAGTAATGTAAAAAACGGGCACGAGAAGAGCTGACAAGTGTACCAAAGTTCATTGTCAAAATTGGGATAACTGGCTAGATCAATTACAGAAGTGAGAAATTTCACTGTCAAATTTGAGGCTGTCAAAATCGGGACTAAACCTATGTGGATATTGATGGATACATTCCTCGAACAAGGTAATAACCTGACATTGTTGCAGACTTGAGTCTGTTTTATTTCTAATATTTGCATTTTGTTTTTATTCATTTGTGGTAGCATTCAACAGAATCATTTGTTTTCGCCGTGTAGCGTAATGAGACAGACAACATACACTAGGTCATACCTAGGGCGTGTGTGAAATATGATTCATGTTGGCATTCTATAAAATGTCTCGATATATTACAGTCATGTTATAAATACGCTATAAGTATAAGCAGATCGTATGCTTTTTATTAAGTTTCAAAATGCATACAAATATGACAATAAAATAATTAGGATTATAAGACAAAATATAAAGACATACGTTGACTTCGTTATTTTTCAGTCCTGACGTTTTTTACCACTGGCAGATGATTAAACTTCAAACTGTTTTCATTTGTTATAATTAAAATGAAGATGGAAATATTATCGAGTTAAAAGATTTCATTTTTGTTGATCAATCTATACCTATACGATCAATTGCGCATGCGGGTGGCGCAGCAAAGGTTGCTTCATGGGACCAAGAACATTTTACATGCGTTTTGTCGGATTCGTATTTATCTGGAAACGTTCATCACCTTTTACAGGCGCATCATTCTTTGCTTCCTTTGCCTCGTTTGTACGCTCTCGAGTAGCACTGATTGAGAGTCCCTCGGTGCTCAGTTTCAAGAGATCTTCAATCGACATTATCGTCAACTAGATCATCGATCCCTCCCTGTTGACCGTCTACTGTCTGTGTGACGCCTGTGTGCCGACTTTCCCCTGCCAGTTCGTTGAACTAAAGGGAGCTGGCTCAACTAGCGTCATTGTGGGATTCCAATTACGACTCTCCCCGCCGATTCAGATCACAACTCCGATCCAGATCACATCAACAATCCGGCTCACTACTCCGATCCAGATCACAAAGCTGACGTATTCACCGAACCGATCCAGATCACAATCGCAATCACATCAACGTTCCGGATCACTACTCCAATCCAGATTACCAGGCCGATCCAGATCACCAACCTGGATTAGTTCACCCAGCCGATCCATATCACAACACAGATCCCGATCACCAGAGCAATCCAGTTCAGCTCAACGAACTGATTCACACCTCCGATCTAGGTCATCACGTCAATCTAGTTTACCATGCCGAACAGGACCACAATTTCGAATCAATTCACCGATCCATTTCACCAGGACGAACTGAATCACTTCACCGATCCTGTTCAGGCTGAATCGATTCATGACGCCAAACCAATCCACCAGGCTCAACCGCTTCACCACGCTGAACGGATTCATCAGGCCGAACTGCTTCACCACTCGGATCACACCACTAAATCAGATCACCATCTCGATCAGATCATATCGCTGAACCAGTTCACCTGACCAAACCGGATCACCTCACTGAATCGGTTCACCTGGCCGTGCCAGATCACTGAACCATCAGCATTCATTTGCCGAACCATCCGTTCCTCAGACCTTGCCTATGAACTCAACGAATCCCCTCTGTCATCTCCTGCTACTTCAAACACAGCGCATCTTCAGAACGCTCCTTGAGGTTCGCCGAATCTGTACCTTTCGCAGACGTTCTGACAACAGCTTACTTCCGAGCCTACTGGTTCGTCAGTTGCCTCCCAAGACGCTCAACCCACATCATGGTCCATGTCAGCCGCCTTTAAGATGCAGGAAAAGTTTTGGTTGATTCAACACACATGACTGCTTGGTTTGCCGACCTCCTAGATGATCTACTAACTACATTCAACATAAAGGATAGTATTCAGGGAGTGAGTGGTACGCTGAATTCCTCACCACGGAGTGGCATGATCTAAACACGACACTCTGACTTGTTTTCTCTAGATTAGCCTACGGCCTTTGGGGCGAATCTACTTTTCCATCTCATCAACTCACTTGACTTTGCCGCCAGAGTCAGACACATTCCCGGAGTAAAGAATGTGATCGCCAAATCCTTGTCCCTTTCACCCGCCCGTCTCCATCAGAGAGGAAGATGGGTTTTTTTGATGATTTACCCATTGCCACGGGGCCCAAATCGGCCTGTTCGCCTCAAGGTTCAACCACCAACTTCCGAAGTTCGTATCACCAATCCAAGACCCCCGGCTTGGGACATCGACGCGATGGCAATATCTTGGGAGGTTCACAACATTCATGTTTTCCCCTACAGCTCTGTTAATCCAGAATCCACCTGTTAACCAGTTAGATTCTACTGCTTTTTGTCGCCCCCTTGTGGCCAGCGAGGTGTTGGATCGTGACCTAATACCGCTTTCCTACTGGGGAAGTCCACTGGGATTTCGTAGCGAAAAAAAAGTTGCCAGGACCATAGGGTCGTGTCTCGCTTAGAAACAGCGTCTGAAAGATATATAGGTATATAGACCCTACCGTAGTACCATATAAAAGGAAAGGGATGTAACGACGGAAGCACCCCCTCCTCAATCAAAGTTAGATTTCACCACATAAACTGTTTTTAAGGCCCCGTCGATGCCTACGGATCGAAAGCTCGATGATTTACCTACAACATGAGCTATAAATGGTCACAATCGGATCATCATTTCAACAGTTATACGCCACGACTCACCGAAAACAGCTACCTCCGCAATTCCAAGCCATAATCATGGATCAGCCAAGACAGCGAAAACTCACCTTTTAAATTCGTTCATTAATTCCAGCCACGTTGACAGCACCTATGTAGGGCTAGATTCAATCGGCAGTGGCATTCCACGGGTCTAAACATCTACAAATCATTTTCTCGACAGTAAGCAGGCATTTTCTCCAAACCCATCAGCAATCTACTCACTTGTCGGCCATAGATGGCCTTGACATTCAAGTGAATGGGCGCATTCTTTGACTAAGCTTGTGTGAAGGAGAGAGGGTCGGTTTGATGTCCTGGAACTGAACGTTAAAATTACGAGCTTTCCAATTCAGTTTTCCTCTCACCATCTACGTGATGGTGTCTGTCAGGGCTGTTTCGAAGCGTGGACTGGCCCTGTTATTAGTCGAAAGACTTTAATTACGGGGGTACCTTGTAAATCGTGGAGAGGCGAGGCCTAGTTGCTTAGTGGCATCCTATGGCCCTTAGCTTGTACGAAGGTTGCGGTCGAACACCACATCGCTCAGGAATACCAGGGACACGTTGTGCTTAGTAAGCTAAGGGGTTCAGGAGAACCCATCACAAGCATAAGAGTTGCGCGTGTCGTAACAGGCCTCCCTTGTGCGTCGCTATCTACGGTTGTCTTCAGTCTACATAGCTTTGTCTGTTTGCGCTGTCTGTACATAATGAAAAGGTGTTCATATAGCTCATCATGGAACAGATTCAAGTACTATTAAGCAGTTAAATGGCATATACACCTGACAAAATTCCCTTTCTACCTTGCAAACTAGATTAGTAACATTCACACCTACCTCCGCCGTTTCTCATACACATGTACGGGAATCTCCACATGCTTCCCACTCCAGTTGAGTAGCCAAGAATTGTCATCATGTAATCCACTGGAGAACCCCATTTCTCGTGCTCCATTTCTGCTGAAAATGAAAGGTTCCTCAGAGTAATAGTTATATCTATAGAAGCACAGAAACGTAATGGTGTGGTTGAACATGTATGAACAGACTATTTATGGCGTAAAATGATTTTAGAATGCGGCTGAAATGAACACGTATTTTTCAATCTATTACTATTTGTCACTGATAGGGAGAAATAGATAATTGCTAATGGTTTTAGCGTGCAAGCCGTTCATGCACGATGTCATGCATTCTGATTTCGGCTTGTACATTGTTCTGTGTTCGTTTGAATATATTCCAGTGAATGCTTTAACACAAAGGGCAATACAACAGTAAGGTTAAAGGGTCTTACTTTATCCACAATGCAGTTACGTCAACGTAACAGACGGTTGTCGAGCAGACCATACCTTTCAGCCATTATCATAAAAAAAGTTTCTTATAAAACATGTCCGTTGGGTTGGTGGCTGGCATCAAACAATGTACCACAGCCGACAGTCCGTAAGTCTAATATAGAGATGAAAATTGCTTCAAATGATCTTAGAAGGATTGGAGACCTAATAGAATGACCTAATTTGATTTACACAAGTTAACTATCAATATGATTAAGAATATATGCAAGGACCTAAAATTATGTTCAAGTCACGTATAACACAAGTTGAGAATGCATTCGACACAGTAGATCAGTATTTGTGCACGTCACATGTCACCTTCCGCCCTTAACGACTTATTCGACTGTTGTAAAATTAACAGATAGTGAGTGAGTGAGTTTATTATTAACGCCGCACTCAGCAATATTCCAGCTATTTGGCAGCGGTCTGTAATTAATCGTGTCTGGTCCGGACAATAAAACAAATAAATCTGGTTACTTTTAACACGTATTCCATAACATTCAGCATCACAACGAAATTATAAGAATCATATTTACCTGATCTTTGTTTCTTCGATTATTTTGTATCACAAATACCCCAAGGTTAGTGAATCTGAACAGTCAATATTCACATGCAGCCTTCATAAGTGTAAACAAGGCAGATTGCCAGCACATTATGAAGTCATAGCATGAGCAGGTATGTAAATTACAAGACTGAAACAGGCAAACGCATACTAAAATATCTGCGTTGTGTTACGCTTCGTCTGTATGTCGTTTCGACCCATATGATTAAAATGCAAGCATGGAATTAATCAATAATTACTCAGAGCTGATGATGAACATATCCGTGAATACAGAGAAGTCTTTTTAACGAGTCAAACCATGTACAGACCGAAATATGTCCAGCATAGAGATACTCATAGACCGGATTTTGTACCATGTAAACAAATTCAAATGTCATAGGAAAAGCATGAAATGGATTGATTTGTGAAGGTTCCTCAATATGGTTTGTGTGTTTGTCCCTTAACCCCGCATATTACTGCTGAGTGAAAGCCGTCTGAGACTAATGCAGAGTGTACCATATAATCCAGTGATCGACTTCATGAACATCTATCTACACATATGAGATATGGTGACATGTCTCGACCAAGTCACTAGATCACCCAATCCATGGGTTGCAGAACACCTATTCTAAGCATTATCCCGAGTAGTTGTAAAAGGGGGATTCTGCCGCACATGCAGCTTAGAGGTTGATTGATGTCTGAATGTGGTTCTATGGTAGGATAAAAAAAATGGCGGATGGGTTGTGTGAGTATCGTAGCTTGCGTCCTTTATTTGAAGAGTATACTTGATATATGTATGCATGTAGGTAGGGGATTGGTTTTGATGGGGACTTGAACATGAATGTGTTGCTAAGTTAAACAAGATGGCCGCCGAACCATGCAGCGGCGAGCCTGGCAAGCACGCCGTTACTAAGCTAAACAACATGGCTGCCCAACCTAGCAATGGCGAGCATGGCAAGCGCGCTCTTACTAAGCCAAACAACATGGTCGCCAGCTTAGTTACTTCGGCTAAATACGCATGAAGTTCTTGACCTGTTAGGATTTTTTACTTCTTTTTATGACTCTCAATGAGTGATTGCATATCTCCCTTCTGTGTTTTCGGCATAGTTTTTCCCTCAGGGCCCTCTTGTTCAAGCTCGTCATTAAATAATATCATTTCTTGGTAATATTGTCTATACGATCTCATAAGCTTTTGTTGTTCTTCATTCCAAATATAACCTGTTTCACTAATATCGGACATATTTATGGAAACAATCAAACACCTACCTCCCGGTCTACACGCTGGAGAGGAGAACTGCAAAATGGTGACTGTCTGGCTTTCTGGAATGTTTCGAGACCATGTGACATCAGGAACACACATATCACGTCACCGGGGACTTGTTAATTGTAACAGCTGTGCACAATTGTCGCCTGGCTGCTTAGGGTCGGGTTAACCTATGAATATTACACGCTTCACAGAGAGCTAAAACATGTTAATATCTAGAAAACAGTTTAACGTTAATCTCTTATGAGATCTTTGTTCTTGGTAAGGAAGGTTTGAATGATCTGTTGATTGACGTGAAATGAATTTAAGGGCTACTCCCACCACTCCCGATACCCTGGCTGCTATATTTTTAACCCCAGGACGACGGGGCAGCTATAATGGTCGATAATAAGTCGACGCCAGCCGTGCCAAGTCCCATGCTGGTTGCCATCAGGGCAGTGTCCACACCGTCCAGGTATTTTTTGCATAATACAATCCACACGTCGCGTTCTTGTTCCAGTTGACATCTGATCTCGCTGATTTGGCTCAAACGATAACCATCCATGCTTTCGAGTGTTTGGGCCACTTCGTCCATTGCCGAATACAATCCCACCTCGGGTATAATATAAGTTAGGAAATAAGCTTTAATTGGTCCTCTGTCAATCGTTGATGAATATACTTTAAGCTGATGAAGTACATATGCTCGGATACATTAATGGCATGGGATATAATGTTAGGCTCCTGAAAAATCATGACCCCCTCAAGATTAGAGGAGGGGACTGTTCCTGGTTGTATATAAATACGACAACGTTGATTTTGATGACGATCATGCCAGCGTATTTTTAACCCCACCAGAATACTCACATCTTCTCCGGGGGCATCTCCAAGAAAGACCTCAATAATGAGGGTAGAATCTTGTATCACAGTGACCCACGACTCTGGGCTTTCATCGGTTTATGTTTTATATCTAAAATGGATAGTTTCAATTCTGTGATCATGCCCTGCATTAACTTTTTGTACTGCGATGTCGAAAATGAATCGTTTCGACCATCGTTGCACTTTCCCGTGTTCACCGGCACGACTCTTAGCAGTGTGGAAGGGCGTTCGGCTTGAATATTATCGGTCATGCTTACCTGATCGAGATGAACGAACACCGTTAGACAATGAGGCTTGGTAATTTCGAACCCGTGATGGTATCTGGAGGTCGTATGTCGTTCGATGACAACCAAGAGTTCTCGCCAAGGGCCTACCGAGTCAAATGGGTCCCCCCTACCCCCCACCCCCGTTAACGTCAGCGTGCCATTCGATTCGTTGAGTTTGAGATGGACTCCAATGGATTTGAAAATTTCACCGTTCAGCATACAAACGCCGTAATAACCGTCGGACAAATTGTGGCGTTTGCTATCAATGAATAGCCTGTTGTTCCCTATGTCTTTACTGATACGCGGTGAGTAGGTGAGATCGCAGAGAGTGACTTCGAGAAGTCCCGACATATTATCGCTCCGCGTGTAGCAGTTGAACGGGCTCCCCGCTCGTGATTTCCGCAATGTACATTTTACACATATACAAAACACTATAACATACATTCAACATGAGTGACGTCCTAACGAAAATGGAAATCGTGGAGGATGCGGATGGAACGAGTTTTAAAACGAATTTTATTGATATTTTCAAAAACTGTAAAATGTGCTACAACTGTAAAATGTTGCACAAAATTTGAGAATTATTAGGTGATATTTTGAAGTCTTGGCAAATTTGTTATTTTTGAATTTTTGAATTTCAACTGCACAATTTCATGTATGTTTTTGCCTAGAGTCGTATGCCCAGAAGGCGGTGGCTCATGGGCCAATCTGGTGGAATCATTAATCTTTTAATTTTTCTGCTGGAGTATATCATCCGGGTATCCTTGGTGCTGCAAGTCGGACATTCGTCGGCATTTCAGTATCAGTATCTCCTCATAGAACACTGAACACCAGCAAAGGAATCATCAGAGATAGAGATCGATTGTTTGCCGACATGTCTGAACTTGATATTGTTTCAGAAATGAAAGATCAAGGGGTCACATACGTTAAGCGTTTTACAACACGTAAAAACCAGGAAACCATTCAGACTAACACGTACCTGTTTTCGTTTTCCTCTCCAAATGCTGCCAGATCAGTAAAGGCAGGATATTGTCACATTAATGTTGACACCTACATACCAAATCCTTTAAGGTGTTTTAAATGCCAGAAGTTTGGTCATGGTGTTAGTACTTGCACATTGTCTGTTGTGTGTGCTCACTGTGGTGAGAAGACACATACAACAGAAGATTGTGACAGTGACTTTAAGAAATGTACCAACTGTGCAGGCAATCACTCATCATTCTCAAAAGATTGTCCGATCTGGAAACAGCAGATGGAGATCAATAAGATCAAGTTCACCCAACACATTAGTTTTACTGATGCCAAAAAGCTTGTTTTACGATCTCAAATTAAGGAAACCTATGCATCATAGCCAAAACATCGTCTGATTCAACTCCTCCAATAGCCAAATCGTTCGAATCTGTCAGACGAATTTAACCTGGCTCAAAACCGATTCTCCTAAGATTTTGTCACCTGCTACGTCTACTCCTAAGATTTTGTCACCTGCAATATCTACACAAACTGCAGAACCACTTCCTGGTACGCCCCAAATCCAATCTGAACCATCTTATGACCGTGACACATCTTCTCAGTCAACTCAAAAGTCTCAATCAACGTCAAACGTTCAACAAATTGTTAAAAACAAAGGCAAACCGAAGCCAGATTCTTTGAAGAAACAAAGTGGCAGAGCCCCAAATGGGTCAGATGATAAAATCAAACTATTTAACAAATACGGATCACGGAGGACATGGACGTGTCCGAAAACGTCTATTCTAGGGCACATAGCTTGTCGCCCTCGAAAACGGTGCGGGGTAGATCCCCAATTAATCCGCCTAAAAGATAGGTCTATCTAACCATATCGTGCAGTGGAACTGTAGAGGACTCCGGACAAATTTTAATGAAATACAGCTATTAATCCAGGATTTAACACCATCAGCGTTCTGTCTGCAAGAGACGCATCTGAAACAGACAGATAATTTTAACTTACGTCAGTTTGAAACGTACCATTATTTTTCCCCTCCAGGTGATAGAGCCACTGAAGGGTCTACTATCCTTATACGACAGGATGTTATTCACAGCCCTGTTACACTAAACACTAATCTCCAAGCTGTTGTAGTGCGACTTACTCTGGGTGTAGCATTTATGTTATGCTCTCTGTATATTCCGCCTTCATTGAACCTTCAGCTGACTGATCTTCAATCACTCTATGATCAACTCCCAAAGCCATGTGTTATTATGGGTGACCTAAACGGTCACAACCCACTCTGGGGCAGTACTAACACTAATACTAAAGGCAAAATACTGGAAGATTTCATTTCCAATAATGACCTATGCATATTTAATGATGATTTAAGCACCTATCTGCATCCTGCAACTGGCACTTATTCTTCTCTGGATTTGTCTCTTGCAGATTCTAACCTCCTGAATGAATTTGATTGGTCTGTTCATAATGACCTTTGTGGAAGTGACCACTTCCCAACTATCCTTTCAGAAATAACTCCATCTGATTCTCCAACGTATACAAGATGGAACTTTTCGAAGGTTAACTGGTCATTATATCAAACGATATGTAAATCGAAACTGCTACCTGAATGTTTCAGTGATATAACTGATCCCATTCAAACTTTTGCTGACGTTTTAAAGCAAATAGCTGATGAGTGCATACCAAAGTCCTCTACGACTCCACATGTACGAAAACCATGGTTTAATACAGACTGTAGACAAGACAGAAAAGCGAGGAAAAAGACAGAGCGTTATGTCCGCCATCATCCAACTGTCCATTACGTAAATCAATTTAAAATACTCAATGCAAAGGCCCGTCGTACCTTTATACAAAACAAACGACGATCTTGGAGAAATTATGTCTTAAAATTAATTCACGCACGCCAATGTCTAAGGTATGGAGCATGGTTAAAAGAATTAAAGGCAAAGGTTCAAAATCTGCTGTTCCACCATCTTAAAGATGGTGATATTTTAATTACTGACAAGTCTAAAATTGCAAATAAAATTGGCGAAACTCTTGCCAAAAACTCATCATCGGCAAATTATGTCCCTGAGTTTCAGAGATATCAGAAACAACAGGAAAGACAAAACTTAATTTCGAATCAAATAACGGTGAAGATTATATAACGAAGTGTTTTCATTACATGAGCTACATACTGCTTTTGAGCAAGCTCATGACACTGCAACGGGTGATGATAATATACATTACCAGCTACTGAAACACTTACCTGAACCATGTCTGATGACACTTTTAGATATATTTGACCAAATATGGACGTCTGGAGAATTTCCTCCTTCATGGCGTCATTAATGCCATTGTTGTCCCAATACCAAAACCTCCAGCGTTCTGCTGGAGTATATCATCCGGGTATCCTTGGTGCTGCAAGTCGGACATTCGTCGGCATTCCAGTATCAGTATCTCCTCATAGAACACTGAACACCAGCAAAGGAATCATCAGAGATAGAGATCGATTGTTTGCCGACATGTCTGAACTTGATATTGTTTCCAGAAATGAAAGATCAAAGGGTCACATACGTTAAGCGTTTTACAACACGTAAAACCAGGAAACCATTCAGACTAACACGTACCTGTTTTCGTTTTCCTCTCCAAATGCTGCCAGATCAGTAAAGGCGGGATATTGTCACATTAATGTTGACACCTACATACCAAATCCTTTAAGGTGTTTTAAATGCCAGACGTTTGGTCATGGTGTTAGTACTTGCACATTGTCTGTTGTGTGTGCTCACTGTGGTGAGAAGACACATACAACAGAAGACTGTGACAGTGACTTTAAGAAATGTACCAACTGTGCAGGCAATCACTCTTCATTCTCAAAAGATTGTCCGATCTGGAAACAGCAGATGGAGATCAATAAGATCAAGTTCACCCAACACATTAGTTTTACTGATGCCAAAAGCTTGTTGTACGATCTCAAATTAAGGAAACCTATGCATCCATAGCCAAAACATCGTCTGATTCAACTCCTCCAATAGCCAAATCGTCTGTAATCTGTCAGACGAATTTAACCTGGCTCAAAACCGATTCTCCTAAGATTTTGTCACCTGCTACGTCTACTCCTAAGATTTTGTCACCTGCAATATCTACACAAACAGCAGAACCACTTCCTGGTACGCCTCAAATCCAATCTGAACCATCTTATGACCGCGTGACACATCTTCTCCAGTCAACTCAAAAGAAGTCTCAATCAACGTCAAACGTTCAACAAATTGTTAAAACAAAAAGGCAAACCGAAGCCAGATTCTTTGAAGAAACAAAGTGGCAGGAGCCCCCAAATGGGTCAGATGATAAAATCAAACTACTTAACAAATACGGATCACTTGAGGACATGGACGTGTCCGAAAACGTCCATTCTAGGGCACATAGCTTGTCGCCCTCGAAAACGGTGCGGGGTAGATCCCCAATTAATCCGCCTAAAAGATA